GACTTCACATCCCCCTTGAGAGGTTACTGTAGTGAATTAGATGCTTGTGACATATTTGTAGTGTGATTTCTCCCCCCCCCCAACATACTCTTTTTTTGCTCTTGGCTGAGCACCTATTCTTTTCTTTCAAATGTGTGGTCAGACTTCTTGCCAGCCAGCTTGTTTACAGACTGAAACGGATTGGTCCCGGTGCTTTAAGCAGATGTATTTTTCAAATCTTGATTAATAAATGTTGGTGACATAAATAGGTCTGGTTAGTTCCAAGAGTAATTGTCTGCACTTGCAGAACATAATTTCTGATCACCAGGAAAATAATGTGATCAACTCCTTTCACATCTGTTCATTAAATGAAAAGGGGAAAAAAAAGTAGGGCAAATTTTGTTTGAAAAGAAACAGGAAGCATATGCTTAATATCACTTAAGAAAACCCCTAGCCATCATAAGGTTAACATCAAATCACAAATGCAAAACAGTCATTATTGTATTTACTCTAAAATTTTCTTCCTTTTTACTAGCTTTTTAGGTTTTCAGTTGAAAAATGCATTTTCTCAGGGTTCAGTCTAGCTTCTTTCATCAGATGCTATCATAAGAAAGGCTGTCTGAGTCAACATTTGTTTACATTTATTAAAAATAATTGTCATGTGTTTACATAGCTCCTTTGATCCAGAAAAATCCCCAAACACTTTGTAAGTCACGCTTAAAAGGGTTACTTCCTCCCCCCTGAACAGAACCGCGTTGGGACTGAGGCATGGGAGAAGATTAGAAATGCAAAGAAATATCACAATAATTGGGATGGTCCTCACCCCCTCAGAGCAACATCAGGTTTCCATGAGCTTCAGAACAGTTCCTGTTTGCAGTTTGGGGCATCTCATTCCAGAGAAGACACTGATCAGCCAGGCAGTGAGAGCAGAAGAAAGGATGGAGGGAAAGCACCTGAGGACTTGCGCGGAAAGGTGGATGGGAATTGTTTGTTTAAAAAAGAGAAGGCTGAGGTGAAACATGGTTAAATATTCAAAACACGTGAAAGGCTGCTGAGAAGAGGAAAGGAATAAAGCTGTCCCTGGGGACAGGACAAGTCATGAACTTAGCAAGGGAGATCTGGTAAAACATTAGGCAGTAATTCTGAACATCAGAAATGGTGAAATTCTGCAATAGATGTCTGCAGAGGCTCTGGAATTGCTATCATTGCAGTGTTTTTTTTGAGATTGGATTAGACAAAAATGTCAGGAGGGGTTTAGATCTTGTTCCTGTGAGCCAGGTGGGCCAAAAAGACTCTCGTGGTCCAAACTTCTGTCCTCCTGTGGTGTCACATATGGTCAGATGAGCCCTGCTTATGTGGGTGAACAAAGTCACACTAAAAATTAGTTTGTGAGCTCCTTGCGAAGTGTTCACAAGCTAAACCAGAGCAGAAATTCCTTCAATGGGTTGCATGTGTGTTTGTTTTATTTTTCAGCTTTAAAATGCTCCCAAATCGTCAAGGTGCTTCAGCACTCACCCAGCTTAGAGGGCTTGAATCCTGTAGTTGGATTCAGTAGGGTCTGTGCACAAAGCCTGTGCCTGAGGCCCCATTTTTGGGGAAAGTTTTACACATTCTAATGATGGTAAGACATGCATGAGTAATGCACTGATTTGAAAAACTGCCCTATTATCTGATCAAAAGTACAAGCTCATGAATACGATACCGCAGGTCATTTGGCTAAAACATACCTGGAGTCTTCCAAGTTTTTAAAACAATCCCATACACAGAAGCAAAATAGAGAGGTATGAACAGCAGAGCCAGTGGTTGCCTGTTCACCACAGATCATGTGGAATGTTTTATCAAAGATATTTTTATCAGACGCACAAGACTGAACTACAGAATATCCTGGGCTGGCAAGAGAAGACGTGATAATAATTTAGATTATTATCCCACAGATCTGTGATTCATTTTTATTATTCTCTGTGTTCATTTCAGAAACAATCAAATCCTCCCTAAGGAAGGTTTCTGGTTGAGTTGAGGGGACTCTGCTGCTGCTTTCCTCCTCAGGGAAGGTCCGAGGGTCAGTGAGGTGCTGCGTGCACATGCAAACATGCTCAGAGGGAGTTTGCAGAAGTCATCTCCTGACACCAGGGCCACCCCTAAGATTAGACTATAATCTAACCTGGTTGTCCAGGGCCCCTCTGTAACCCCTAGGAAGTGAAAGACCCTGAACAAGAGAGTAAGTACTCCTAGAGACTTGCACTGGAATGAGGTGGACCACCTTCTGGAATGGTTTCTCTCCCCATTCACTGTAGAAACAGCCTCGTTAGGAAACCAGGACCAGACATTTTACAAGGAGTTGTAGCATTTGGTAAAAGGGATCGTTCTTTTTAAATATCTCCAAACCACTTTGGCAGTCAGCTAAAAGGACATTTGCATTCAAGAAAATGTTTTGTAGGAATAAACAGTGATTCATTTGCTATTAGCATGCTTTGTACATATTAATGGAAATGCACTGTTCTTCTCTTGTAAAGCACTTAAGGACTTTTTCAAAATAAACAACCCCACCTAACTATTTATCTTAACAAGAATGCATTTATAGCAATCTAATGTCTTGAAAACAGAAAACTGCCTCATTGACTGAGGAGTAGTGGTCAAAAATTCCCAGATTTTTTGACAGGAAACTCTGGGATCTTAAGTAAACTGTGGGGGTTTTTTCCCCTAAAAAAATACCTGTTTTCAAGGGGAAAACAAAACAAAGCAAAAAAAAAGAAAAAAAAACAAAAACAAACAAACAAACACAAACAACAAAACACTTCTGTAAGTTGACTAGAAAATGGAAACATCATACAGAAACGTAAAATGTTGATATAAGGCTGCTCTAGGAATCTCTTAGATGTAGTTGGCTGATGAGTGGGCTTGTGATTCTTTTATGGATGCCCTGGCCAGCCCTGGGACACAGAACATCCCTGAAGAGCAGAATGACAGTTTGTGCAAAGGGACATTTTAGTCTCACTGGAAGATCAAGCCCACAGAATGTGTCAGGAGCAGGATACACATAAACCACAAGTCTTTGTGATATTTTGGTGATGTTTTTTAATTCGATATTGAAAACCAGACCCTCCTTGTAGTTTAAAATTTAATTTAGGGCTACATTTTGTAGTTCCGTAGAGTGACAATCAGTAACCAAAAGATTAGGATAAGCACCTACTCGTACATACCTTAGGGAAATCTGGTACAGGGGGAAAAAAACCAAAACTGTGATCCTGTTATCAGTGCTGCCAGATCCATGCACCACATCATCACTCAGCAGGATAAATGAGGTCTGGATCAGAAACTGGAGCCTGACTGCATTTCTGTTGGATTATGCATAAAGTGTTGTGCCTCATTTTGTCGGGTTTGCTTTAATGATGCTTTGCATTCTCTGTGGGAATGCCATTCATACTTGATGTTACTTACATTGCAGGAGCTTGGACACACAGTGCCTGATCTGGTATCATTCTTGCCAGCACTAAATTATCTGCTCCAAAAAAGCTGGACAGTTTTGAAACAGTTTTGAAGCAGCATTAGTTTATCACTGATCAACTTTCTGCATTAAGTGACTGCAGCAGTTTTGATGCAATATAGCAGGAGCTCTAAAGCTATGTGTCTTGTATCAGCTCAAGACATAAACCAACCACTCCCCATGAAAACTGAGATAAGAGCTTTCTCTGACCAGCCTTCATTTCAGAATTCTCTCTTTGCAGCAGTTTGTTCCTCTGGAACAAGCACCACTTCTCACTGTCAAAAAGTCCTAACACTGGTGAGATGGATTATCTGCTCCCATGAAGCAATTCCTATGTCTTTAATTCAAGACTGCCTTTTCTTTTTACTCTAATTCATTGCACATTAGTTAAGATCACTTCTAGCTACAGAACAACTATCCCACCCAGAAGATGTGGTGACAGCATAAAGGATGAGGGAAGAAATTAAGTGACTTCTCCCAAAATCCAGGGTGAAGTGTAATGTGCAGTGATTGTCTGTGGGATTTGAAGTTGACCCACATGTGTGTTTACCAACGCCCTGATCTTCTCAGATTGTGATTGATTCAGCACATTTAAAGCATCTGTTCTAAAACCTATCTTGGTATTGCTTAGACAGAAAAAGACAAAAGCCTTCAGTGCTTCTGGATTCTGTTTCTCTGCACGAATCTGAAGTAAGGTATTGTTCCTTTTATCTGATATTATGCAAGACACAACCTTTTTCTTCCAAGGTCAGGATCTCAGATAGTGTAGCTAAATATTTATAGGACTGCATAGCTTCTTACCCCATAAAAAAATTGGTTTGACAGTCATTTTCAGTGCCTCCAAATCCCCTTTATGAAAGATTTAGAGAATCTGCAGGTATTAGTGTCACTTCTTGTTTTAAGGAGAACTTGCTTTCTCACTCCTTGCTCCTCAGCAGAATGTCTTGGGTTTAAGTCCAAAATCCACCCTGTGCAGTTTGCATGCTCAGCTGTGCTGCTCTGTGACAACTGGTGGATTATGGATCATCCAGTAATGGATGCAATGGAGGCATTTTATGAAATGGAGATTACAACTTAAAACTTCCAAATCAATTGTAAATGGACCTTCTTGACCTCCAGTGCCATGGGAATCATGATGAATTCCAACCTGCAAATTCAAATCAAAGTACTAACTCGAGCTACAATCAATAAGCAATCACGCTGCTATTGAGGCAAATCCACAGGCAGGGAAACTTAGCACTGCCTGAGTCTGCTTTTGGCATTGTGACTTGATCCCAAATGGCTTAAAGCCAGAAAAAGAAATGAACCTCCTTGGTCTCCTGAACTCAAGGCTCTCAGTTGTGTAAGGGGGTTCAAAGAAATTTTTTTAAAGGCTTGTGAAACAGGGGAAGGATGTGATTTGTGGCCTCTCCTGGATAATAATAATAATAATCATCATCATCATCATCGTGGTTGCTACCACTTGGTATGACAGTTCACAGAGTAGAGATAAGGGTTGTTCTGCTGTTTAATTTCCTTCTCTTGTGTTTTCTTTTAGCACCACCACGTTGCCTTCCTATATCAGGATAACCAATGGCTACATCACAGTCAAGCCTCCCATCTGGATTTCAAACCAGCTGGATCAGAGACCGCGTTCCGATCGCCCATCCCAGCCTCAGCCCACAAGCTCAGCTGCAGCCAGTCTTTTATGGCCACCAATAACATTTCCTCTCTGCATGACCATAACTTCTTTTCTCCTGAATCTACTGCAGCCCTCCTGACCACATTAGGATTACGTGCAATCCCTTGGAATAGAGAAGAGAGATAATTTATGAACGGATTGGAGGTTAAGACAACAACATTTGCAAGCTGGACCTTCTCAGTGACTCAGTAGTGCCTTCTAGCTGATTTTGTCTCTTTGCCCAGATACATTTTGAAATTCTAAAGCTTTATTGTAACACTGACTTACATCTTCTTTTTGTAGAAGGATCTTTATTTCCCATAGTGCTATGGGGTTTTGTAAAATATACATGTTCATATAAAGAAAAAAAAAGGAAAAAGAAAAAATGTATTTATTCGACTGGTAAACTTATTTTTCTTGTTGTATATGTTAATAACATCCCTATTAATCAGTAGCGATGGTGAAACAGATAAATTAATATTTTCTATATTCGTTTTCTGACAACTCTGCAAATGTCTGAACTGACACCAAATGAATGCTTTCTTTGTTTCTTTAATCATTACTTTTTGCAACTGTCTAATAAGTACATTTCTGCTGAACTTCTTTATTTTACTTTTTTATCTCATTAGCATAGCTTACACTGAATGAAGCAGATCCTGCTCTTTGTGGCCTATACCCCTTAGAAAAATAGGTGCATTCTTAACTTGTTAGCTGCTACAACCTAAAATACCAGTTATTTTTTCTATGACTTAGTAAGTCATTTGTCAAGATACATTTCCCTGCTTTCTTTAACTAAACTATTCACCTTCTTTGGAAATTAGCAATTTCCCTCTTAGCCCTGGAATTAATTCATTAGCTAACACAAATTAAGACACCTTTTCCTTAATAAAAAAATTGCTTTTCAAATCAGGAATAATCCTACTGAAATTATTTTCTTCTCTCCCTCATTTTACATCAACACAAGTCTACAACCTTTCCCAGCATAAATGAGAACAGAACTTGGTCTGTCTGTAGGGTATAAAGATGTAGTGTCCTGTTAATCTGTAGAATTCCTTGTACCAGTTGTATTAGTGCAAATGGACAACCTGGAGGCAAAAAAAAAAAAAAAAAAATCTACAAATTCCCTTTCATCTTGCTGTTATGAACTGATAGAGCTGATATCTCTGTGCTGAAATAATTATGACTTGTCCAAAATCTGTTCAAGACCACAGGAATCAAATTAACCCCCGTGTTACAGAGACATACAGAACATTCTTCCATTTGTACGCTGTGGTACCTCTGCTGACTTGGATGAAAAAGTTATGACACCTTACGTTCATTGAAAAGTTTGCTCCCTATGCAGCTACTGTTAGTGAATGCAATGAACAATATCTATGGGGAAAAAAAAACCATCCATGCCATCTTAAAATCTATTATGTTTAATAAGGCATGTTGATGATTTTTCACCACCAAAACATGATGAAAAATCCCTTTGGATGCAAGAGTTTCAACTAGAAAATTAGTTTGGGTTGAAATAGTGCTTTTCTTTCTAAGTCATCCACAAACCAAAAGTCCAGAATATACGATGAAAACATCGTAGTTAGAAGTCTCAAAACCGGAAATATACAATACAAGGTTTTCTTTATGGAAAAGCAGTGCTTTTTCACCTTGGAAAAAAAGATAACGATGATGATGGTTATAATAACAATACTGATAAAATTCTGACTGAAAACAGTCCTGTCAGTTCTCCAGCAGCCCTAGAGCCTGGTTCTCCAGGGCTGCAGATATTTCACGCCACCTGTAAGCAAGAGGGAGTTCAGAATTCATGGTTTGCTCCTGATCATACCAGTTAATTCAGGAAAGTAGGTTAGAAAGTAACTAGACTACAAAAGTCACGTGGTTTCATTTGAAACCATGATGAACTACTGAGCATTTCCCTCACACGTCCCAGCCCATTGCTGAACACAGGCCAGGGATAACACAGATAACTTCTTTTTGACTTACTGGACACCACGACCTGCAGCCTTTGCTCTGTTTCTGACAGAAAGTTGTGTAGGTTTCTGCTCAGTTTAAGTGGGTACAGCAGACAGTGCTATAAGCTTCCTCTTTTTTCCTTTCAAGCACAACAGATGATAAGGCTGAATGGAAAACTTTTGAGCTTTGCCCCACATGTGAGATTCAAAGAGACCCTCTGCATACTTTCATATTGTGTATTTTGGCTAGCAGATGATTAGAGATGTTAGTTTTGGACAGAAGCCATTCACCTTGCATATTTATTGCACGGAGATGGATATTGGAAACATATTTTGAGATCTTTCTTTTTTGGTTTTATTTGAGCTATTACCCTAGAAATGCCTTCATTTGAATATAATGGTTTAGCAGACCTTCAAATTCAACCTTAATGCATTTTAAAAAGATTATTGGTTCTCCTGCTGTGTTCGAGGCAGAGATGAAAACTGAATTATAATGTCTTATTTACACAAATGGAACTGGAAATAAGGTAGGCAAATCTTAAGGCCGATGATAAGTTACATAGTAAAAGAGAACAGCCAAGAAACCAAAACCCACTGAATTTTATTCGTTGTAATCAAATTGAATCCAGGAATTATTTTGTGGTACTATCCCAGAAATAATTCCAGGTGTTGGAAAACTTACAGTATAAATAGACAAGACCATATAAAGATAAGGGAGGGGAAAAAAAAAAAAAGAGCAGAAAGAAGAACTTGCCCAAGACCGTAAGGAAAAACACCAACAGGACCAAGACTAGAAATTACAGTTCTGTTGCTTCCCAATCTGGGGTTTTCTCCATAAGCCTCTGGAGCTTTTTTTTTTTAAATATTTGGAGCACACACATCTCTCCACACTCACATCTGTCATCATACTGCACAGAGCAGTCACTCCTTTGTCACTGATGAGGCTTTCTGAGTCACTCCTCCACTGGACAGTAATACTCAATATTCATTAGACACCGTGGTATGTTTGGCTATCTCAGGATGTAAATAGCTTGGATATCAAAGTATGTTTTAATAGCTTTGCATTTCCTGTCATTTTGCCTGTAATTCCATGAAATTAATGAATGTTACTGGAAGTCGCCGGATTTCCCTCGTGCCGGCGCCCCACATTTATCCTACTGCAGCGCAGGTGTCAGCGCAGGGTGTCTCCTGGATTTGGGGTCTGCACACCTAGAAGCAGTTAGTTAGCTCATCTGATCACCTGAGCTTCCTCTGGTTAAGGGAGGAGACATGACTTACATTAAATATGAGGTTAAGTAGGTTCCTGTAGGTCTTGGGTCAGGAACCCGACGTGAATGGCTTCAGCACAGCTCTCTAACCAAACTTCTTTTATTCTGTTGCCTTACCCTAAAGTACAGCTTAGGGTCACTTTATTTAATACGTGGCCTGTAAGCAGAGCAATACTGCTGGATAATGAAACCCTCACTGTGGTTGATGAAATGGATTGTTTATTAATCAGCTACAGCAGCTGATTAATAATTATAGCTGTTTTATTAATTAAAACGCGGTAGTACTGGTTAGCACAGATGTATGCACATCCATTGCATTGGATCATGATTATATTCACTGTGAGTTTAGAAGCTGTGCACCAGATTTGATACATGCTCTTGAAGCAAAACTGACTACCAACTTCACAGGGCTGCAGCTTCCTCTGGGAGTTTCCCAAAAAAATTAGACTGTATTCTTTCTTCCAAAGGAAAGCTCAGATTCCCATGCAATCACAAGTTTACAAGAGCAGGCGATTTAACAAAAATATCCATGCCCACTACATAACAGCAAACACCGGTGATACTGTTTGAGAACACAATCAAGACTCACACAGTGTCTGGCAATCTGGGACACAATTTTGGATGAGTCCAAAGCTCAGTGATCATACGATTCATCTTTTCAACTCTCAGCTACAAGCGACACCAATACAATTCATGTTATATGTAACTGTAGCATTATAAACAAATGCTAATTATCTGCCAAGCTTTTCCCCTGGGGGAATAAATATCCCATATCATCAGCAACAGATCTAACTTCCAATCTTTCTTTGTTTTAATGCTTTTCTTGCTTATGTTTAACTATGGATGCTATATTAACATGCACTGCCACTTGGAGAACCAGTCAGTAAGCTGGGACAGAAGGTATTTTATATTTTATGACTGATGTAGTTTCTCTGCAATCCCTTGGGCTGTTGAATAATGCAATATGTCTTCTGGCAATAAATGATGAACATGATTTATGATAACTATGCTTTATACAGGTGTTAAAAATCTGCTTTGTTGAACTTCCCTTCCCATTCCTCCAAGCTCCACTGTAATTTAGGAACACCCAAGGTACAAAGTTGTATATTTATCTAAGTTCTTCAATATACAATTGTGGAGAGAGAGAGAGATGGAAAGAGGGAGAACTTAATCTATGTTTAGTGCATTGATTAGTCAAATGATATGACTCAGTCATTACCATATACCACTGCTAGGGAGGAATTTCCCATCATATATTTATGTTAGAGAAACCAAAGTGCCAAAGTTATTATCTCAGCATAAATGTTATCATTCCAAACTTTGCTTAGTACCGTATTTCTGTATTATATCAAAAAATTATATGGGCTTGTCATATCTCTGAAGTGATCAATGTTCCATGGAGTGTGCTAGAACTCAGCTTCAATTTAAGCTTATTTCAGCTTACCTGAAGCAGAAAGTTAATTTGCCAGTGTTTGAGATCATAGGGGGGTGTGTGTGTATGTGTGTATATGTTTAAGTGCATGTGTGCATGTTGTGTGCTTGTGTGTTTTGTCCCAACCCAAATTCAGCCTTTCCTGTGACTAACTTTTCAGGAGGCACCTTAATCTAGCTAAAGGCAGGGAGGACTTTCCAATGAGTAGTAAATACTTTTCTTCTATGGGACTGGTTAACCATCCTGCAGATTCATGCTCCCACCGAATTTCAAATTGCATATTCGTCAGGTTTCAATTCAAATGTATTTCAAATATTTGTTTCCTGTTCCGCCTCCTGCTTTTGTGAACTGTTTTGAAGAGTGTAATAAAAAGATGCTTTCTAATATTATTTTATCAAAATATTTTTGTAGCATAATATATTAATAAAATGTTATTATAAATTCATAGCACAGTAATCTTGTGTGTCTTGATTCTTTCCTTTGCATTAAAATCTAGGGAATCACTAAAAAAACGAACATTCTGTGTGCCGAGCTTTGGCATGCTGCTTCTTTTTTGCCCAAGAACAGCATGGGATGGAGGAAACCATCTCTCATGTGGGGCAAGAGGAAGCAGATCCAGAAAACCAGCCCTTCCATACAAACTAGCTGGCGTGTGTAGAAAAGCCCAGAAGAAGCATCCACTCCTGGTGGATGCAGGAAGGTTTTTTCTCCCCTGCAAATTGATGGTGTCCTTGGAACTTCTGGTTTTGCTGCTGTGCTGGTAGCAGAAAAAAAAAATAAATAAAATAAAGTAACCCTGGAATTGTGTCTCCATCTGGCACGGAGCAGAAGCTACCTCTCCACACCAAGACACAAAGACACGGAGATTTACTCATTTTTCTTGGCTTACTTCTTGCATGCAAATCCTGCCTTGCAGCTGACACTGCAGACTTCTTGCTGATCGCAACATCATTGTTTACTCCTTTATTATGTGCTAAATCATTCGGTCTTAAACACATTATTTTGAGAGGACTCCACCAGTGAAGCTGTTTTAGAAATACCCACCGTAGGAAATGCAGTGGGAGGTATAAACACTTGAGCTGGTTTGAATGAGCTACCCATGGCACAGGAAGGAACTGCTGTTGCAAAACAGAAGGGAAACTCTCTAAAAACAAAGTTAAAAAGAGCCCATCTATTGAAATACCAGCCAGACAGTCAAAGCTGCTTGCCATCCTGTCTTTGGAGTCACAGCCCATCTGGAGAGCCTGTGTGGTCCAGCCAAGGGCTATCCCTGGCCATGAGCAGTCCCAATCTGCCAAATCCTTTTGCTCTTAAGTGTCCTGTTCATCTACAGGTCTGAAAATGAGACAAACCTTCAGCCAGCAGTGCCAGATCCTGGCTCAGCGGTGCCGTTTCCTTAAGCCTTTCCTTCCCTTGACCTCCCTCTGTGCTCCCAGACTGTAATTGCAGCTTTTTGCTCTAACTTGAGACCTTCCTGTTTACAGATTTGCACCAGGAAGAGGGGAAGCTGTGATGGGAAAAGCTCAGGGCAGGAGATTGGGTTTCTTGTGGACTAGCTTAGTATCTATGTTCCCATCCAGCAGCCTATCTCCTTTTCGGATCAGGGCTTCCCAGTTCCCAAACCTCCCGAGTGCCACCCACAAGCGCTCCCCACGCTGAATGGGTTGGAAGGAGCATTTAGGTAAATTAGTCCTCTTTTTGCTCTCCCATGTCTGCTCTGTGATTTCCTGTTGTTTCAGCTTGTGACCTTTGAGCATTTTCCACTGAGAGTACAGACTGCTGGCTGTACTTGTAATGTATCTAACACCTTTTCTCAGTCTATTGCAAACTGCAGAATTAGGTGAGGGATCCCCGTGGGCCTGCAGGCCACAGGCAGGTGTCCCTGAGCAGAGTTTTGCAGGACGGTCCTGCATCACCCTTTGGTTTCAGGCTAGGGATGGAGGGCTTCTACAGAGAAGCTCAGTGCATAAGTATCCAACTGCATCCTGCTGCCATATCTGCTGGTTTGTTTGTTTGTTTATTAATTTATTTTTATCTTAACCTTCTTAAATTACAGTGCAGAGTGGTGTTGTCTTCTCTTTCTGATGAGCATTTAAATGGGGGAAAAATACCCAGAAGACATTTTGCCTCTTGGGTAGGGGGGTGTAATTTTCCAGCAGAGAACTTAAACATGAAATGCCTCTGTGCCTTCCTCTTTTGGCAAGTCTCTCTCTCCTTTTTTTTTTTTTTTTTTTGGTGGTGGTGGTTTTTTGGTTTGGTTTGGTTTTTTTTTTTTTTTTTTTTTTTTTTTTTTTTTTTTTTTTTTTTTTTTTGGTGGTGGTGGTTTGTTGGTTTGGTTTGGTTTTTTCTTCTTTTTTGTTTTTTGTTTTTTTGTTTTTTTTAAACATGTTTTGCTGTAAGCAACAAGCTAATGAAGACTTCTGGGTTGGTTTTGTTTTTTTCTTAGCACACCTATCCCCTTCACCTCACTGCAGATTTGTCAGTATTTATTAACAATTGAACTTCGTACCTCTCCCTGAGCAGAGCAGAGCTTTCCTTCTATCTGTATTTCCTGATGCTTCTTCTCATGAAACTCCTAAAAATTATTAGATTTGAGACCTCCAACCGTATGTGAACAGTTTCAAAAATTACTAGCCAAGGGACAGTTCCAGCACGCTGATCACACAGCCATCATCATTTCACAAATGAGGCTACAGTATGACTGGCAGGCAAATGTGTTTGAGGAGAAACACACCGTTGTTTGTGCTCTTAATCCCCACTGAATCAGGGCTGAGCTGTTCCTACTGGCTGCACTGATTTGCGGGGGGAATGAACACATCATGCCAAGCTGGGGGGAAAGCTGAAGTTCAGCTTAATGTTATGGCAGTTGTCTGGTCCAGGCTCACCCCAGGGATGTGTTTATCCAACACACACAAAGGAGTTCCATAACATCTCCAGGGGCCCAGATGGAGCAGAGGGGACCACTGAAAAACATATTAAAAGATCAGGGCCCAGTTGGATGTACACAGGGAATGTCCAAAGACAGAAATAACCAGACATCCACAAGTCTACTGCCAATAACGGAAACAATAGTAACGGGGAAAATAGTATGTGTTTAGTTTGCTAAATAGCTGGATGGTGGGAATAAAATTACTTAATATCACTGGGGTCTTAAAATAAAAAACACTGAAACTTTATTAAGCATTGCATTTTCTCTATTAGCTTTTTAAACACACAGTTTCTCCCATTACAAAGAGAGCAGCAAGTCCTGAGCACCTGACTGATTTGAGCAGCAGGTCCCAAACCTGCAGCCTCAAACACTTTGCTCCGCAGTACACCAGCACTTCGTTTGCAAAGGCTGCACCTCTGCGTGCAAGCCATCGTGCAAAGCACTGCACTTCATTCCATTTTCCACATTTTCTTTCCATTTTCATGCCATTTTCCACGTTTAACAAGGATACAGTTAAAATGGCAGAACAAATTGCACAGTGCCAAGCCTCCACCAAGCTGATTTTCAGAGGAATGATAACAATAATAACTGCGACAGTGAGTTCACGCTAACAGCCCTCATTCACACCTGGAGCTCCCTGCCTTCTTGGAATGAAATGCAGTTTGAACAAAGGGACCAAGATAATGTGAGAAAACATCAACAACTGGCAGATAGAGGCAAGGCAAATGAAAGACAGATGTAGGAAGGAGAGTGAGAGCTTTCTGCTTTGGTTTGCACTCATCCCATATCTTTGTTGTCCTAAGGAATATCAGTTTGTTGTCCTAATGATATCAGTTCTCCAGTCCTCTTTCATGACTTACGATGCACCTTTTCTCTCTTCATACAAAAGCCATTGGTTTTAATTATAATGTGATAGATACACAGCCTCAACCAGCCCTATGTGCCTGAATTATTTGAACAGCAGTGCTGGAGGGCCCTTTTTCTTTCCAGAGATCTCTGCAGCTGTTTGTCTTGGCAAGAGTAGGTTTGTCCCCAGATTCATCCTGTTTGAAGTCCTTTCCACCCACTCGAGTTAGCCTGAGCATTCACCTCATTTTTAATGGGAGCATTATTATCTTCAGTTTTGCCCTGGCAAAAATAATTCTCAAAAGGGGAACAGACAGAAACTCACACCTACCCATCTTTCTTGAACAAACTGTGTTCGTCCAAACTGTAGGAAGCAAGCATTCAGAGGAATTTGCCAAGAATTGTTTTTCTCTTAGCAACGGTCCAGACCGAAAGTGGACACAGATAAAATCTGTGATATCACCTCTCAACCAGAAGGATCCTCTTGAAGGCCCAATTAGTTCAGACAACGTGTGCTGTGCAGACACAGTGGTGGTGGCTGTGCAGTTGTTTGATGGACAGTGCTGGCTGTGTTCTCCAGCTGTGCATGGGCCAAGCGTGGCCCTGAGGGCAGGAACCAGACCAACACAGCAACCTTACCCTGCTGCTGCCTTTTCCTCCAAGCAGTTCATGAAGAGCCAAAGGTTTGTTCTTGACCCTCTTTGTGGCATTGAGCCTGATCTGTCGCTGCTGGGCCCCCCAGGGACATCTCTCCATGAAGAGCTGGGACTAGAGGTAAGTTTGGCTCCCCATCGCTGCAGGTTTAATGATGGCACACCAACATCTGGTTCTCTCTGAGTGCTGGAGCAGACCTGTAAAAAGACACGTGAAGTGAGATCATGATGCATGCAGAGACTAAAATTCTGAGCCCTGGTTAGTTTCTCTTCATTATTTTTACCTTTCCTTGAAACCTCAACCTTTCTGGGCCATCTTTGTCCAAAGGCATTAACACCAAGGGGGGTGAAGGGGTGGAAAAGGTTAAAGTATTGGTGTTAATGGAAGACTCAGACATGAAAAGAGTATCCCAGGTTTGGAGCCTCTGTTGCCTGCTGCCAACAGCAGGCTCTGCTTGAAAGGAAAGTACCTATCTCAGCATGCAGTCAAGAGGAATAATAAAACTCTGGCCATTCAGAGCCAAGGAAGAGGAGAAAAACACTCATAAATGTGCAGCTTATGTTTCTCTTGAACTTTCAAAATAATTTTTTCTCCCACCCAGAGATTAGTCACAGAAGCAAATGATACCGTATCTGGGAAAGAAGCTGGATGGATGGAAATGATCTTTGGAGAGAAGGAAGGGAGCAGACACATACTTCTGTCTCTCTTTCTCACCTTCCCTTTTCTCTGAGACTGAATGTACAAATGAAAGAGCTGGGAAAAAGTCAGTGTTTTAGGATGGCCTCAAGCCAGTGGAGGCTTTGAGGCCATCCTCAAACCAGTGGGTTTTTTCTACTCCTGTCGGGTGGATTTGGGGCGCTGACCTCACCACTTCGTGATCCCCTTGAGCTCCCACTCTGCAAGAAGCTTGATTTCTTCCAGAGGCCCCCATGAAGTGATTTTCGACACATTTTTCCAGATTCAAATGAAAAAGAAAAAGCTAAGGGACTAATGAAGGTATGCTCATAAATGCCACTCTCTGGGAAAGGCTAGCGCTTGCCACGGTTTTCAAAATAAAATTCCAGGTCCTCCAGGTTCTTCTGAAGCCCTGATTCAGACTTCACAACACCCAGAGGTTTAAGGTAAAGAACAATCTCAGCCTCATCTTAATAAGGTGGGAAAACGAGGTGGACAGTGGATTTTACGACATGCCTGAAATCACAAGGGACATCTCTGGGAGCAGGATTCAGAAGGCAGCCCTTCCTCTATGGTACACTGTTCTCCAAAGCATGGTTCATTTATTTCAATTAAGAGTACTTTATAAGGGCTCCCCTGCCACCTTTTTCTGGCATGAATTACTGCAAAGACAGTGAATTAAAAGCACCAAAGGGCATAATTTTCTTTTAGTGTTTAAAGAAGCTGTTTCCATAAAAGCAGGCTATGTGAAATTTGCCCAAAAGAGTAAACTTAGGAATAACATAGAGGATTAGAACAGAAAACTAATGTCTTAAAAATCTTTTCTTAGACAAGCTTGACCTGACAGTTCAGCTCTGGAGTGGTCTTTCTGTGTAATGCCAGTCAAGTAGTTGAACCAAGACGGGTTCCTGTCACAACATTCACTCAAGTGTTGCAGGGTTATGGGTTTCTCCAACCACGAGATTAAATTCTTTAAAAAGGTACAAAGCTAATAGATGCAGTCCACTGTCTCCCCATTTTCTCTCTTCAAAAACATTCAAGGTAGGATTCAGTTCAAGTACCATGCACTGTCTGAAAGCTGTCACCCAAACTTGCCTCCTGCAATGGTGCCACCCAGTCTGACTCATTCCTTAGAGAAATAATTCCAGCTCAAGTGACTTGCCTGCTATTTTAACAGATGATCTCGTGCTTGGTCCCAGTCAGCTTCTGCCCTGAGAATGCAGTTGCACGGGTAACGTTTGCAAAGGCACTTCAGTTTATCTCCTATGAAGGGAGACCTACTTCAAAGTCATTTAAAAACCAAACCAAACCCCAAACCCAACAACTGCCTCATATTCAGTGTTTACACAGCTCCACTGCAGTGACCACACAAAATACCTCTGACGTGGCAGGGATTCCCAGGCAAGCTGGGAATTGGACAAAGTGCAAAATGAGCTGTAGTCTCCACCTAAAACACCTCCACTGCAGGATCAGCCTAGAGCTTACCATTTCTAAAATTACCATTTCATAGAATTGTAGCCCTCCATCATTATCTGCATAACATATTTTGGTCAAAATTGCAGGACTGAGTGATGCTGAGACATTCAGTGAACATTAACCTTGGCTGACATTTATATTTTTTTATATCTATCCAGCTAGCTGTACCTCAGATAAACTCAAAATGGTCCACTATGAGACAGAAATGTGTAGTTTTTAACTTTGGTTTGGAACATCTTGTTGTTACAATGTGCTTTCATACTGTAAGCTCAAAATTAAAAAACCCAACATGGTTTGTACAAAACACAAAAAACCCCAAATTTTCAGATTTTTTTAAGTGCCCAGATAATAACACATCTGTCATCGATAAACAGCAGAAATGTTTAGATGTCAATGAATGACAAACATCAACATTTCTACTCTAAATGAAAATGTTGCTTAGACTGTTGGTATTATAGTTTCATTGTTGACTTGCACCTCTCCTCTCTCCTAGCAGCATCATTCCCCTGCTCATCCTGGTTTTGAGGCCAGGAACCGGATTTGGCTCAGTCCAAATGGACTTTGAGGTCCATAATTTGCACAGGCCTCTATAACAGAGCTTTCTGAGTACTCCTTCATTCTGAATTTATAAGGCCTGTTACTAAAAATAGTTGCTAATGGATGGGCTCTATCTAAATCAAACTTCTTGAAACCCTCCCATACTTCAGAATTGCTGAAGACCTCAACTCAGTTCTCTCTCTTAGCAAACACTGCTTTGAATGCAATTACTGTGCGGAGAAAAATGTCATTGCAATGTGATAATTTGATGATGATGATGATGCTGAAGTGCTGAACCAAAGCAATAATTTTTGGTTAAACCATAATCACAGCACTGCAAAACATTGGTTAATCATGGAAACTTCATATTCAGTGTGGTCTTCTGTGCTGTTCCGAGATATTATGAGAAATGTCCAGAAGCAGGCTGACTGGAAAGTATTTATGCTGTTATTCACATCTTGTGGCATGCCAGAGGTCATTGACTTGTGGTTTGTTTTGAAAAACTGGCTTCATCAGTTAGACCCAGTGTTTGAAGACGAAATTGTCTGCAGCCCTCTGTTCTCTTTATTGGGAGAAATGAGGCAGCATCTCCAGCTTCATTTATGTAAATTTTACTCTCTTTTACCCATGATTTCTTCCATGACAATAGTCTAAACTCACACCTAGAGCACCAAATTAGATGGAATTACAAGATGCTGCTAATGAGCTACAGGTACTGAGGGTTGCCTGCCTGCTACAGTGGCAGCCCAGGTGCCAGCCCCTCAGAAGGAAGCAAAGCCTGGCTGACATCGGCGGGTGGGAGAGCTGTGATGGAGATCTATAAGTCGTAAAAGATCCCTCTAAGGGACTTATTTTACTCTGAGGTTTTTGTGAGCTGGCACTGAGCTTCTCAAGGAGCCATGTGAAGGGCTGTGGGTGTCCACCCTGTCATGCTGTCCTCCCTGGGGGCTGTCAGCCCACGCCACGGCTGACACCAGCAAGGCACAAGCCCTGGGCCAGCAGCTGAGAGGAAACAGCAAAAACATCAGCCTGAATTCCCTGAATGCACAGGTGCAGAGGTTTGAGGGTTGCATGCTTGTGTTGAAACAACGTTGTGAATTCCATGGAACGGTCAAACGTGGCAGTTCCTCCCACCTTGAAAAAGGCCTGTGAGTGGTGGGGGAGAGTCCACATCTGCTCCATCTCTGCTGACCACAGGGCAGCACACACAGGACAATGCCCACTGTGCACCAGTTTTCAGGCAGTGCCATGTTGTGGAGGTTAAACCCATCCACAGGCATTCTCTGAAATACTGTTCTAGCTGGTTGTGCTTCCTGCACTCCTCTGTGCTGGGACACACAGACGCACAAAGCCAGCCCAGCTCAGGAGAGGCAGCACAGGGAACTGCCGCTTGCTTGGGTGGTTGTGGAACAGCTGTTTCAGCTATGACATAACTGCTTTTAAACTTCAAAAGAACTCTATTTCTGAGCTGAAAACATAGAGTTTCACAGAAAAAGGCAAGGGTGAGATGTTAGCAGGCCGTGTAGCGGGTAGTGGACACAGTGGAATTGCAGAGCCCACATATCATCCTGTCAGCCCCGTCTTCTGCTGACCTTCACTCCTTAGGGGTCCAATCCTGAACTTTTTCTCAAGCAATAACCTCATCCATGCCAACAGAGCCTACTATTCCATCTGCTGGTAGTCACAGTGGAATGTGTTTGCTTTGGGAGTGATTGTGTGCTTTGCTGGTGGGCTCAAAGGACAGATAAAAACTAGTGCCCAGTTCTGCAGAGTAATTTCTATCAAGGTGAATGAACTCATTAGTAAAAGATTCCTTTATATAGCTGGGTGTTCTGCAAACCCAGTGTGGATTAGACTTTTTGTGGAGTAAGTGGAGTTCAAGCACGACCAGACACAGCTCAGCTCTGTTTTGTGCTACCTGCTACCCCTGGGAAAACTTTCTGATGCCAGTTGGGACAAGATGAAAAAATCATACAGACCAGGCTTGGAGGTCTGAAAATCTTACAAAATGCAGAGAATGCCGAGCTTTTTCAGACAGCTGTGAGGCAGCAGGTCACACAGATGCTCTGTGACACTGGAGCTGCACATGAAATTGTGGCCAAAGAAATGTTGAGAATGTTTTGCTGCAAAACCTGATTATTGCCTTACTGATATATGCAAGGAGAAGGGAAGGGATTTTACTACAAACAAGCAAACAAGCAAGCAGATTCCTGTCTGGAGCTACATCATCAGTCTGCCAGATCCCAAGTTTTTCTCTTTCACTGCCATGGGAATCCTTCCGTTCCCATGAAAGATGATTGAAAGCTGCATCTTGCAAGCAGCTCTCTGAATTAAATGGCTGACTTTAACTTATTGATTTTGGCAGCTAGAACATGGCCATGAAAAAGAGGTAGGGGAAAGAAAAGGAGGTGCTTCTTTTAAAAACAAAGAAGTCTCCCAATTGTCGAAAGCACCTCAGTGGAGGGATGTCGTGGTGATTCCAGACTTTGGCAATGAAAAGCAACAATCA